GGAGGAAGCAAGACACTTCAGGCGCTGTTGGAGGTAGTCAAGACTTTTCAGGCACAGCAGGATGAAGTCAAGACCCTTCAGGTACTGCAGGAGGAAGTCAAGACACTGCAGGCACTGCAGGAGGAAGTCAAGACACTTCAGGCACTGCAGGAGGAAGTCAAGACCCTTCAGGCACTGCAGAAGGAAGTCAAGACACTGCAGGCACTGCAGTAGGAAGTCAAGACACTTCAGGCACTGTAAGAGGAAGTCAAGACACTTCAGGCACTGCAGGAGGAAGCCAAAACACTTCAGGCACTGCAGGAGGAAGCCAAGACACTGCAGGAGGAAACCAAGACACTGCAGGTATTGCAAGCGGGATGAATGATACCTGTTATAAGGTATTAGAAACTCATTAAAGAACCATAATATATAACTATGTGAAGTTCATTACCTTCTTATGATTAATGGACTCTAAGTTATTAAACGATGAGAATACTCCTCTAATGCTCGAGTAAGCCAATGCTCCAGGCTGACCTTAACAGCAACGTTGATCATCAAATATCGCTGTGAAGCCCTCAAGCCTCTCATAGTGTCAAACATTACAAGAATGAAGTATAAACGAGAATGAAAGCTAACAAAAATCTATGTGAAGGAAGTCAATTTAACCTTGACTTCCTTAACCTTTACATGAATGAAGTATAACGAGAATGAAACGCTAACAAAAATTAGAAAGTCAAGTTAACCTTATTTGTGGTTAATATATCAGTGATTTCTTTCGCTGAAGGCAGCTGAAGTCGGCAACTTCATTCGTTATAGACGAAGAAAGAAGCGGCTGAGGGTGAAAATGTTAGAGTTGGTAGAATTCGTCTTGGTATATAGGGGCCTGACAGCTGAGTTGACAGCGCTCGGGATTCGTAGTCCTGAGATTCCGGGTTCGATTCCCCGGTGGGGGGGCGGAAACAAATAGGGCGGAGTTTCTTTCATCCCGATGCGCTTGTTCATCTAGCAGTAAATCGGTACCTGGGAGTTAGATAGCTGCTACGGGCTGCTTTCTGGTGATGTTGATGCCCGAAACGCTTTGCGTAATAGTGGCTTTAGGCATTGTATGTACTAGCTCTTATCTATAAAGCCAACAAACTTTGTAAAATCTCTTTATGTATGTACCTTTGCCTAAATAAAAATTATTATTATTATTATTATTATTATTATGTATAACAAAAAAGGCCTGGTCGAGGACCGGGCCGCAGGGACGATAAGCCCCGAAATCATCTCAAGATAGATCTATAACAATTCAGGATGGAAGCGACAAATGAGTAAAGGATTTTCACAGTCCTTATCACAGTAAATTAAGAACATTTGAACCACTACTTTTGAGACCGTTCATTTATCCGGCTCTAAGAGACTTAATACATATGCGTGGTAGTCTAAACTCCACATTGTTTAAGTTAGGTAGTCACGATTAGTCATATATATAGATTATAGATTCTTATAGATTGTTGACCAGACCACACACTAAAAGTTGAAGGGACGACGACGTTTCGGTCCGTCCTGGACCATTCTCAAGTCGATTGTGTGATCGACTTGATTGTGATCACACAATCGACTTGAGAATGGTCCAGGACGGACCGAAACGTCGTCGTCCCTTCAACTTTTAGTGTGTGGTCTCGTCAACATACTTCTGCCACGTTATTGTGACTCATCGCCTGCATTCTTATAGATTCTTAGAGAGTCTACCTACTCACAGGCCAGATGTCATTAACAGGACTATTACTTAGCGATCTGCTGATTGGAGACGAGTATATCCCACCTGTACCCAGGATACAAGTGGCAGGGTGAACAAACATGTTGTTGTTGTTATAGATTCAGCTACTCAGAGCAAGTTCTTAGTAGCACGGACTATGGTGAGCCCGTAACTTACCTGGCACAGGAGCGGGGCTGTCAGAGACGTCTCTGTGAACAAACAACTCAGAGAGTTTGTTCATGCTATGGAGAGTTTGTTCATGCTATGGAGAGTTTGTTCATGCTATGGAGAGTTTGTTCATACTATGGGGTGTTGTTCATGTTGGTGTAGACGAGAACAACAAACACACACCTAACCTCCCCTTTGCTTAATCTATCCCAGCCTCCCTACACCTATCCTATCACTCGAACCCTCACCACCTACTCCTATCATCCACACCTCTCTCAAATGACACTCACCGATCCCTTATCCCATAATTACTAATTAACTTTAATCATCATTATCTTGCTCTTATCGCTTCGCTATTCAGACACATATTATTCATCTAGCCTGTATTTATAGTAATCTCAAAGGATTAAAAGTCCGGACTTGTGTACACCTTCCTAGCAGCAGGATCTAGGGCTTTGTTAGAGGTGCAGCTAGTGTCAGTATTGGGTTCTAGGAATTCCTAGCATAAAACATTTAGTTTTCAATGGTAGAAGCTTTTCTTCATGTCCTTCCAAACTCATATTAATTCATTAATACTATCAGCATGTCTCTCGGAGGTAAAGTTCAGTATCGGGGAAGCAAACAGATTAAACAATTATGGAAGGTAATGAAATTCTTTTGCCTGGTCGACTAATATTACAATTGTTTGTAGCCGGTTAAACGCGGCAATTAATATGAAGCCATCGGTTCCATGCCACTTTTATTGTAAACAATCTCTTGTGGAGATATATATAGGTAATATTTATAGTCAGAATTTGTTTACACCCAACCCACTATTCTGGAATTATAGAAAGTGACAACATTTCGATCCATGCTGAACTATTATCAAGGTTTCATGTCTTATAAATAAATAAATAAATAAATAAATAAATAAATAAATGTTTATTTAGGTAAGGTACATACATACAAGAGATTTTACAAAGTTTGTTGGATTAATAAATAGAGCTAGTACATACAATGCCTAAAGCCACTATTACGCAAAGCGTTTCGGGCAGTAATATTTTATATTTTATTTATATTTCCAGATTACTGGGTTGGGTGTCTAATTTTCAGCTACGTTACTGTGGCTTGTTATCAGGATTTGTCATCCAGGTAAGAGTACGTTTGAAGAACCTTATTGGAAAAGAACATAGGCTATATGCAAAAAAATTATGAATGGGGCAGTCTGTCAAGAAAATTTGATTAAACTAATAAGAAATGTTAAAACATAAATAAAAAAAAAGGTATAAAAAGGCTATGAAGTACATATAGTATTGTACATATAGGTCAAATCCTTAATTATTTTTTTAGTTATATGAAACAAAGTTTAGGTAAAAGACTGATCAGCAGTATCTACCTTGCTACCTTGCCTAAGGGAGCCGGTCGGCCGAGCGGACAGCACGCTGGACTTGTGATCTTGTGGTCCTGGGTTCGATCCCAGGCGCTGGCGAGAAACAATGGGCAGAGTTTCTTTCACCCTATGCCCCTGTTACCTAGCAGTAAAATAGGTACCTGGGTGTTAGTCAGCTGTCACGGGCTGCTTCCTGGGGGTGGAGGCCTGGTCGAGGACCGGGCCGCGGGGACACTAAAAAGCCCCGAAATCATCTCAAGATAACCTGCCCAGGGATTAATCCTGGGTGATTCGAGAACGCAGTCCACTGTGCTACAGCACCCATTAAACATTTGCTTTTAATCAGTCATTCTCTATGTCCTTCGGGTATTATAAATGGGAATCACAGCGTTACTTTTCATTCTAAATAAAATATTTCCAATATCATTATTTAGAAATTTTGGTATTCTGAATTTAATAACTAATATTTTCTTTGTTAGTTCAGAAACGTCGCTTATTTGATTTGATAATTGAATTTTAAATGCGTAAAATTATTAGTTTATTAGAGACTACCCGCCAAACACACACCGAAACTACGACGTTGGTACAACGTTCGAACAAGTTTTAACACCTCCTAACCAGTTATAACAACCAATATAGCAAGTTGTAACAACGTTCTAATACGTCATAAACACGTTAAGCCAAGATGTAACAACTTTATTACAAGTTGTAACAAGCGGAAAATAGAGACAGTTACGGTTTGTGTTTCCAGGGTAATGTTATGGATTTGTGTTTATATCTGGCATTACCGGTGTCATCAACTATATTACGCAAGTCCAAACTTGTAACTTGTAAGCAGGAATGAGCTTTTTAGTATATACAAACCTCTAAATAAGTCTAAACTTTCAAGTTCAAAATTTTTTAACGGAGCTCTCAGTAGGTCCAAACCTCTCAGTTAGTCTAAACCTCTCAGTAGGTTCAAGATTCTCAGTCAAAAAATTCATAAAATAAAATTGTCTTAAATTCAAGAATGTTAAAAGTGTTCACAGTTACAAATATTACTTAATATTATATTAAATATATTTATCGCATGATTAATGTGCCTCTGGAGTACTAATAAGCATTTTTAGACGAGTATAAGAATGAGGACCAAATGCATACACTTTTCCAATAAGTCATTAGTGTTGATGACCTCGGGTAAGAGGTGAGAGGACGCACTCTGCCACACTCAAGAACAATAGCTGCTAAATTACGCGACTCTAATCCAAAATGGCGAGATATAAGCTCCATTTACCCCTCTATAACTAATCATTTCAATACGATATACCCGTTTAATTCACCAACAATTTACCTGTATACTCACTACGATATACCTGTTCAATTATCCACCATACACTACCACCACTTAATAATACATATATACTTCATTCACAACGATAAACCTGCCTCATTCATACTAATACACCTTCCCCCATTCATACTTATTAAACCCTCCAACAAATTCATAACAAAATGTGTCCTGAAAATGTAATTAAAAATTGCTTCTATGCGAGTGCCTCTCCTTTGTGACACGACTCTGAGACACAAAGACCTCCTGACTCAGCTGGTGCATTGAGCTGAACAGCTACACTGGACCCTTCAGAGGCACGAGTTCTCCACGTCAAGCGCCAATCCCAGGAGTATGCCTGAGAAAATGGGGAAACGGGCCTTGTTTTTCAGACAGTGGCGAACGGTCGATAAATCCCGGGTTGTGCTTCGTACACCATGCCTGTAGCACGCTCCACTCTCTCAATACCAGGTCTCCACCCACTCCCCATGCCTCCACCCACTCTCCATGCCTCCACCCACTCCCTACGCTCAATATCATGCCTCCACCCACTCCCCATGCTCAATATCATGCCTCCACCCACTTCCCACGCTCAATATCATGCCTCCACCCACTCCCCATGCTCAATACCATGTCTCCACCCACTCTCCACGCTCAATATCATGCCTCCACCCACTCCCCATGCTCAATACCATGTCTCCACCCACTCTCCACGCTCAATATCATGCCTCCACCCACTCCCCATGCTCAATACCATGTCTCCACCCACTCTCCACGCTCAATGTCATGCCTCCACCCACTCCCCGCGCTCAGTACCATGTCTCCACCCACTCACCATGCCCAATACCATGTCTCCACCCACTTCCCACACTCAGTACCATGCCTCCACCCACCCAGTTTCATAATTCAACCCACTCTGCACTATAAACAAGTTTTATACTGCTTTCTCTTACTCGCCTGAATCTAAATACATATATTAAATAATTTTTTTTGTATTTGTCACCAAGTTTAGCATTGAATGATGCTAATTCTTTCATTGATATAGTTTTATTAATAATCAAAGATAAAATATTAAACTAGGAAATGAAAGGTAAATTATTAATGTTCATCTAGTTTTAATTTCGATACAATTATATCGCAATCAAAAGGAAGATAAATGTTTTAACGTCACCCTAAAAAGTGTGTGTAGATCACCCTTGACAGTTACCCTATGTAGAGGTCACCTTAAGGTCAGGTCATGTTGCAGTGTTACTCAAATGCATGGAGGTGTGTAGGTTACACATAGGTATAGAGATCAACTTGAGGTGTGGAGGTCACTCCTGAGGTGTTACACTAGTGTGTGGAGGTCACTCCTGAGGTGTTACACTAGTGTGTGGAGGTCACTCCTGAGGTGTTACACTAGTGTGTGGAGGTCACTCCTGAGGTGTTACACTAGTGTGTGGAGGTCACTCCTGAGGTGTTACACTAGTGTGTGGAGGTCACTCCTGAGGTGTTACACTAGTGTGTGGAGGTCACTCCTGAGGTGTTACACTAGTGTGTGGAGGTCACTCCTGAGGTGTTACACTAGTGTGTGGAGGTCACTCCTGAGGTGTTACACTAGTGTGTGGAGGTCACTCCTGAGGTGTTACACTAGTGTGTGGAGGTCACTCCTGAGGTGTTACACTAGTGTGTGGAGGTCACACCTGAGGTGTTACACTAGTGTGTGGAGGTCACTCCTGAGGTGTTACACTAGTGTGTGGAGGTCACTCCTGAGGTGTTACACTAGTGTGTGGAGGTCACTCCTGAGGTGTTACACTAGTGTGTGGAGGTCACTCCTGAGGTGTTACACTAGTGTGTGGAGGTCACAATAAGGTGTCGGAACTCCAATACTCAGGAAACATGGTTCGTGTCGTGTTCCTAATGCAGACATGGGGATTGCTAAAAGAAAATACCCAGCATAGGGAGCACTAAGAGCTATGAGTCAAGTATAATCACCAGATGTTTATGCAGCCTCAAGTAATAATACAGCAGGTAAATTACTTGTTAGTGATAACCATTAGTAAATATCACTATCTCTGTATCTCAATATCTGTATCTCTGTATATCTATATCTTTGTATCTCTATTTCTGTATCCCAGTCCCTTTTTTTGTCATAAAAAATAATAAAATTCTTTACCATTGACGTGTAGGTGGACCAGTGGAAGGAGGAGCTTAGCAGTTTGAAATATTAGAGAAACATAGATGTTACCCATTTGCTTTGAAAAAGTGGTGGGGGCTTGAGGACTACTTAGACCCGGGAACTGCCGGCTGCTACTTTATATATATATATATATATATATATATATATATATATATATATATATATATATATATATATATATATATATATATATATACATATATATATATATACATATATATATATATATATATATATATATATATATATATATATATATATATATATATATATATATATATATATATATATATATATATATGACATGGCTTCAGCACCAATATATTGTTCTCACTTATAAGTAACTTTTACCCTCAGTGCTATGAGTGCTCATTGTCCTGCAATGCAATGGGAGCTGCTCTTCTGTTGATCTCATATATCAAGCTTGCCTTACAAAACTCCTGCAGAGAGCCCTAATAAATTCTCGCAACAGCATTTCTTGTCTCTGTTGGTTCCTTCATCTTGCCTTCTCCACCCACTTCACCAGAACATTGTAGCCCTTTCAGACAAGGATTACACGAGCTATTGATCAGGGTTTTCTCCAGCTCTCTTCATTAGAGGGGATCAATCACCATGCCCCTTTGTGTTCCTTTTTACATGAGGTCTTTGCTATTTATTTTTTCATCCACTTTGTGGAACTTTGACAATCAACCTACCAGGAGAGAAAGTATAAGTTCCACGGGAAAGTTTAATTGATGGTGCGGCTCAAGGGATATATTTTTTTTAATTATTATAATGCTTGTCGTTCGTGTGTGGTAAGCATTAATTTGTGATTTATATAGCAATAATTCTTTAGACAATTTTGCCTACAATACGTATGCAATCAAACCTTGACTTTATTTTTATTTTAAAATTATTTATGATCTCCTCAGTGTTAAAATATATATTAATGGACGTCTCATGCCCCATCTATGTGGGACATGAGGTAGACCCACCCAGCTGGGGCACCTGGTACACTATGGTACACATATCAATCTTAACACTGAACAGTAAACTTGATGCTGAAGCTGCTTGCTTTAGGTAAACTGATATCTGCCAAACAGCGGCAGATAAATTACTGGTAAGGGAGAGTTTACTGACGTCTGTTTAAATAACACATCATTCATCTGAACCTTGGGATAAACACTGGATATTTTCTCGGGATAAGGAGTTTTAATTGCATTTTCCCCTTTCAATCTTAATTAAAAATGAAGAGAAAATGAAAGGAGAATATAGGACAACAAAATATGAGGAGAGACTATGCTAATAATCCCCTTATAAGACATAAGTTTTAATGAGTATATTTCTGTTTTTAATTTTGATATATAGTTATTGGTGTGTATATCTTTGTAGATACTTTTGAGATATAATTATTGATGAGTATATATTTTGTAGATACTCCTGATATATCGTTATAGGTGTCTATATCTGTATCAATATTCTTATTAATATATAGACATTACTGTGTATATATCTTGTTAGATAGTCTTGATAAATTGTTATAGATATGTGTATACCTTTGTAGATACTCATGATATATATAGATATTGCTGTATATATATCTTTGGCGTCTGCATCCTTGTGAAAACAATTTATTTCTGTGACATCAAAGAGAAGGTCCAGTGTAAAACCTTAATAGGAGCTTACACACCATTAGGATGGTGCTCAAGGTGTTACAGGCCAAGCTTAGCATGAAGCTTGATTGGCTTAGCCTTACACGAAGCTTGAGTGGCTTAGCCAAACACGAAGCTTGAGTGACTTAGCCTTACACGAAGCTTAAGTGAGTATACTAGGAACAATAGCTTGACTGATTATACTTGGTTCGAAGCTTGAATTAGTATACTTGGTAGTAAAGCTTGAGTATACTAGGTAGAGAAGCTTGAGTATACTACGTAGTAAAGCTTGAGTGAGTATACGAGATGCGTAAGATGTGTGAGTGGATTACAGGCAGTGGATTACCTAACCTACCCTACCCTACCCTAACCTATCCTATGCTAATCTAATTTTCCCAAAGCTAACCCAACCTACCCTACCCAACCCTATTGTATGCTAATCTTATTTTCCCCAAGCAAACCTAACCTAACCTACCCTATCCTAACCTATCCTATGTTTATCTTCCTTTCCCTAAGCTAACCTAACCTACCGAAACAGCGGCCGTTCACAGATTGGGAACTGGGGTCATAATCAAATAATTAATCAAATATTGTTTATTGATTAGTTCTCCAAGCTTTGAAGCTCTTGACTGGTTGGATCAGCATCTGACAACCCATCAGATAAGCCATATTGGAGGAATTAGCCACATAAAGCAAGCCCCTGAGCTGCCTTAGTTGATGGTTGCTAGGTTGGGGAAGGAGGGAGTGGCGTTGGGGGGTGGCAAGGTTGGGGGTGGCAAGGTTGGGGGTGGCAAGGTTGGGGGTGGCAAGGTTGGGGTGGCAAGGTTGGGGGGTGGCAAGATTAGGGGGGAAGGAGGTGGGGAAGCAGTGTGGGAGGCCGAAAAGTTGACTGAAGTGCCTGAGCGTCGGAGTTAGTCTCCAGAGGTTCGAGATGACAGAAGGAAGAGGGGTTACTAGGATAATGGTCTGAGTAGAGAAGACCATAGAAGGTATCCATATGCAGGCGATGAGCCACAATATCGTGGCTGAAGAATGTCCACAATCGACTTGAGAATGGTCCAGGACGAACCGAAACGTCGTCGTCCCTTCACCTTCTAGTGTGTGGTCTGGTCAACACGATAGAAGGTAGTGCATGGAGTAACGCAAGTGTGAACACATCACGAGAGCTCAGAGTTAGTTATGGTACACCCTACCAGGCTGGCTTGCTTATATTCCATCCCCCACACACCTGCAACACCCCCCCTTAAACGTTGCATCTTAATCTTTGATTTATCTCCTGAGTGCAGACGGGCCAAAAGTGTCATGATATTGGATCCAGCGATCCTTGCCGAGTCATGAATCAATACACTTACCTTGATTAGTTCACGGAGGAAGACACAGGAAAAATGTCTCCTTTGATGCTGATGTAACTGAATTGGCTTGACTTTGTAGGGTTATTGTATGATTACTTATGGATAGTATAAGGGTGCTTGCGAGTGCTCAAATAGGTGGAAAGGTAGCCTGGATTATGAGACTTGCACAGCGATTAAAATTTCATCTAATTTGTGCACCATTTGGCAGTGAAATATGAACCGGAACTAGACTTTAAGCACTAGAGTACCACTCACCTAATATACTGCTCGAGCACACTAGGGAACACTCCCTAGCATACTAAGTGACACTCTCTCTAGCACACTCGGTGACATACTTCCTAGCACAAAGAGAAACATTCCCTAGCACACTAGGGAGGTCCCACTGCCTAGAACACTAGGAAACACTACCTAGCACACTAGGAAACACTACCTAGCACACTAGGAGACACTCCCTAGTGTCTCAATAGTGTTCATTGTTCTAGGAGCCACTCCCTAGCACTAAGAGCACTGATAACACTATCAGTGAGGCTAAACACTAACACTTACATGGTCCTGACAATCTCCATGGGCTACGAAGGCTTAAATGTCCCCCTGGTGTAATATTGGATCTCAATATACCTCACATAAGACCTTGGAAATGGCTTGAAATGATATAAATCCCAATGGAAATTACTGAAAATCTTTATATGTTGATATTGGTAGGAAATATCACTTCCAAGGTTAAACACCATTGCACTGTGCAG